ACGGCTTTCATCTGGTTAAATGTTGTACATAGTGATAGCTGATTTCTGGTAAATGATAGTTGTAATTAGTGGCAGTCGATAGAATACAACTGCAACAGGCTAATCATTTTATTGTTTGACTAACTCACAAGGGAGGTTGTTCAGGGTGTGTCAAGCTTATTCAAAACCGTCTTTTGCATGATATAGGGGTACATGCGGGAACTACAGAACTATGGTTAATTTTTTATGAACGGCTCTCTGAATACCAGAAAGGGGGATCCCTAGTCACACCTTTTTCACTACTTTTTCAATCAAAGCCTATTTGTAAGGGTTAGTGACGTTCCTAATCATGAATATGGTACTAATTATTCATTTTGCGACGACTCCAATCCGCGCGAATTTTGAAACGTCAACTCGAAATGCAAAAAAAGTATCACCAGGAACCCTTTTTATGGGATTCAGAGGGCTGTTCAGGAGAAATGAACCATGCTTCTGTGGTACCCATATGTGCCCCAATGTCATGCAAGAAACCATTTCGAAAAAGCTTGGCACACCCTGAACGACCTTCCTTGTTAGAATAAGGTCGTGCATTATACTGTACATAGTAGAGCGGCACTGTGGTCAGAGCAGCAAAAAAAGAGTCCACGAATGAAAACCAACTGAAAATGATTGGGCTTACGACTTATTTGAATACTCTTATGTTCTTCACCCGTTAGGCCCTATATGATTACAGCGCTCGAGCAATCTAGTTTTGATTTGCTACCTATGACTACCCTTCGATTTGCAGGCAATATTGAAGACCACCAACTGTGCTCAACAATTGTGAAGCGCCCTGCGAATAACAGTCAATAATGTGAAGTAGGCCTGATTGGATTTGTAAAAAAAGGATTGCCATAATTTAAACGAAAATAATTTAATTAAATTTGATATAGGAATTAAATTCTAATCTGCATGTCCTCAAAATTCTGATAAGTCTAACCAAACTCGCTTGAAGGGGGTGTGCTTGATGTTACCCTTGGACGTATTCACACAAATCTTAGATCTGACAATTAGATGCTGATATTGCGCTGGTAGCCTCCTGAGCAAACATTTAAAGCAAACATTGAACGGACTCATATACGGTAACGCGCCAAGCACGCTTCTTTTTCGCGCTCTTACCAGTAAGCAGTACTTGTTAAACAGTGTTACTGCTCAGTCTTCCGAACAAGACACTAGAGCGATCTCTAAGAAGAGAACAATCGCTAACTTGTCCTCAATGTGTTCCCATAAAACAGTGTGATCACAAAAAACGTAACTTTGACTAGTGCCGGCTCTTTCCCAATTATCGAATCATGCAGGTTGCTACATCTGTAAATAAATGAATGGTCCCCTTGAAATCCCGTAACTGGTAATTAGTGCAAAAGCGTAGAAGGTCTAGACTGAGTTTCTTCGAGTGTGGCAAATAAAGGATTGACGCAGATTTGCTACTCCCCCTCAGACAGGGCTTCTAAAAATAAGTTTTAGCCTTTCTGAAATATCTGATTAAGAGGTTCCAAACAAACTGGTCCCGCTAGTGTAGCTCTGTGCAGTACTCTGGACCAATCGGGAAACAGGACACTATTACGTGTTCTGATTGAACTATTTGTATTTTTGGTACTAAGCACCAAGTTCGTTACTTGATAGATTATGAATGAATCGATTTTTCGAACACATAAGTCATTGTGGTGGCCCATTAAAAGCTGCTATTATTGGTAAACTGTATCTCATGTCAGCGCTACGGTTATCCTCGAGGAGCGAAATCCATATCCCCCTTGTAATCGGGCGGCATATAATCCGGACAAGATGATGAGGCAGGTGATTCTATTACAGATTCGGAGAGTCGCGTTCTCTATATGTTAAGCCGACCAATGACACATTATTGCCGGATTATAGCCCGATAGCGAAACCCTTGACACCAGCCGTTGGGGCTTCCTGTGTGGGTAGAGAGCAGGCTCGGCGCATAGCAGGCAGCTGGCTAGGACATCTTCACAACGACACGATTGCATCATCGTGAATACTTGTACATGCAATCAACGTGCCGAGATAGGCAATGACCTCTAGCCGTGACGCGACCACCGCTTTCCGGTTTCGCACCCGTCGCGACGGAAATCGCCGCTGGGCATCCAGTTTGGGAGCGGAAACGCCAGTTCTTTTTTCTTAAAGGAACTTGCATTCGGCTAGTAGTTCGGGCTACTGCTACGGATTGCCTCGCTGAAAAAATACCCCTGCTTATTCACTTCAGATTTTTTCCAATAAATGTACATAGATCACCGCTACTTCAACAATCTTTCAACCTTTCGAGAGAACTTCGCACTTGGAACAAACCATATTGAAGAAATTGGACATTTTAAAGCACCCATTGGGGTCTACAAACTTCTTTCGTATCAGTTTCAAGAGGTGAAGGCAAGGAATCCCTCTTGGCTTCTAGATAAAGGAGATCTTCACTAATCCCTAAATGTTTCAGAGTCCCGAAGACTGTAAATGAAGAAGTTATAGGAAAGACATCAAGGAATATCTAGGATATGGATAAAATTACAAGGCAACTTCATGTTCGAGCTCCAAAAACGAACACAAGCTTACTGGTTGGGAAAATATTTGGAGTGCTTTACGAGGGGCCTTTTTTCCACGGAGGACATTTGCTGCTAGCGAAAGAAAACACGTTAAAAACGGCACTGTCTGCCAGACGGTACAAGTAGTTAACAAAACAGTACATGTCAACACTTGTAGAATCTACTGAATCTTTCCGAAGCACTGCAGTTAATAAAGGATAAAAGGATAAAGCATTTGCCGTTGATCAATCCCTTTTTGGGATGCGGCACACATTCTACTTCCATTTGTACATTCGTAGCGGCGTTTGAATGCAATGTGGCCTATACAACGACTTGCGGGGGCCAGCCGACGTTCAAGTCAGTGTTTCTTTATCCTCCAAGACAAGTCTGTTGCCAATTAACCTACTCCGGAGGGATGGAAATCTTATAAGCCCGGGCTACTTACGACAAAGGATTTGATCCCCGGACCGCTCGCGTGGTAAGCACGGCACTTGTCACTACACCACTTCCGACCTTAAACTCTGTAGTTAAGGAGACCAAATGTCAAATACTACAATTCAGCATCTTTTATAGCGAGTGCTTCATTTCTAGGCTTATTTTTGAAAGGTTTTTGATTTTTCGTTTAATTTACTGCCGGAAGTTTCGTTTTGCCGACCGCCCGAAGATTAGTAAATACAATAGCCTCAGACCTGGTTTCTTTCTTATAGCAGCCCAAACAACTATATAATTATAACAACAACTATAAACAACAACAAACAGACAGCATGCTCCCCTCTACCAACGAAAGCGACTGAAACATTTTTGTTTTATTCAGTGATGAAAGCTTCAGCAGATACAACTACATAGTTGGGCATATCCTATTTTGTTAACAGCAATACGAACAATTTCAACAGAATGTCCCCCCGTCGGACAACAGACCCTTTATAAGTGTGAAAGCGAGGTAATTAGGAGTCTACCATCAACACTTGCAAAATTTTGTGCATCCTTATCCAATTCTGTGAAGTAGTAAAAAACATTTTCAAGTCCTCTAGGGAATACGCCACACATCCCATTTTGTAGACATTAATGGCAGCTGGATGCTATTTAGCCAACATATACACGGGATTACCAGGGAAACAAAGGACCGAAACTGAAAAAATGAAAGGCTTTGGTGACGTAGGAGAAATGGGTAAGTAAATTGGTCAGCGATTTGACTCACAGTCGATGTGTTGAGAACGCCATCCCCTTTCGCTCCCTGCCTCAACACACTGACGATATCAGTGCTGTATTATTGACAGTATGATTTAGTATTTGACATTTATTCAGTGAGCTGCGCGATCACCATTCTGGTAAGCTCTTCCCACTCAGCCCGCAAAATGTCATAAGCAGTCAGTTAGCTGTCCGTAAGTAACCTCACTATTGCTCTTATCCGCATCACTGTTACGTAACCGCGTCAACGACCATAATTTGATATCGACCTCAAGTCACAAGAATGACTGATTGATGAGGAAATTGTAGGGAAAGCTTAACGATGAGGCAAGAAGAGCTAGAAGATCATAATCGCAGACATGTAATGAATAACTTGGAAATTATGCAAATATGGCGGTGTGCTTTAATACCTATGCCTTGTTGATCTTATCGTGGTTCTCCCATGGGCACGGCTCCAGTGCTGGGACCCACGGCTGTCATCAAAATGTGCTATTACGCGTGCTCAATGAAGAGGTGTGTGAGAATCGACACTCTTTAAATTTGAAGATGCCACTAGCATGTCGAAGCAAGGACTTGTAGAACACGCAAGCGCACATTAGCGCGAACCACGTTGGAGTGGGTTCCGAGCGTGCGAAGGCGAATAGCTCGTCTCGAGCAACTCGATCGAAATACTTCAAAAAAAATTACGTCCAACTTATAACATGATAAGGAGGTGTAAGCGGTAGGCGGGTCGAAGATAGGTACACGGTCATGGTGACTTCGCCTCATTACAACTCAGGGTCGAAAAAAAGTGAACACAAAACCTTTTTGTGTCTAACCTCGCAATTATAATAGATAGGAGAAACACAAAGTGCGACAGCTAAAAATGAGACCGTAAAAAACCCCGAAATTTGTTAACCAGAAACGATGAAGTTAAAAAAAGATTCGGAGAATCACACATAGTCCACACTGCGTAAGCGTGATGATGATCGAGTACGGTAAATGAGATGATGTTGCATTCCATTTCTTCGTTTTTTTTTGAGTATGAAAGGAGGCAGGAGGAGGAACAAATAATTTACTTGATTCAGCATGTTACAGGATTGCGATTGAAGCTTATTTCATCAAATGCTCACTGATAATTTCTGAACCACCCATACTTTACAAGAGGATACGGTAGGACGGTCTGCTCGACTGATAAAAGACGGTAGTTACATTCACGTAATGGAGCGTTCTTGATATACAAAAATTCAATTCAATAATACCCAAAATGTTTTTTCAAGGAATCACTATGAAAATGTAAACTTGAACGTACATTGAATGATCTTCTCGGCAGTAGAGCCGACCATCCTTTGAAAAGCATGTGGGGCTGTTGGACAGATTCTGATTACATGCTACACAACGTAGGCAGCATTCGTGAAAGGAGTCGGACATCACCTGAAACACACCTGTTAATTGAAACGTTGCTACTGTGAAGTTTTGAATAGCGCAAGAAGAGGTCTGCCGCCACACTACTGCGTTTGTCAATTACAGGTAGAATACAAGAGGACTTTCAATAATATGTGCATGCAATGGTGTACAATGGTAATATTACTTGTAAGTTGCTATTTAATATTTATTATTCATCCTGATATTTGGTAGAACGTCGAAATTAAAATCGACTGCACAATAAGAGAAGTTGAATTAACCACAGTGACGAGTGTCCCTTTATTTTCCAAACTGATCATAGAAATGGTGGACTGTGCAAACGGACAGCTTCATCGCACGATTTTGAGATATGGAATGGTTAACTAATAATATATCTTTAGTTTTTGCACGAGGACTAATTTTATTCAGAAAGCAAGCAAGGTTACAAATGAAAGTTTGCGCTACTTCATACAGGAGATAGTATAGTAAAGTGAGATTGTAACTTGAAGCCCAAGGATTGCTGGGTTCCCGGATCTATTGAAAGCGATAGAAAATGAAGAAATGATAACCTTCAGAACGAACTGGTCCTTAATTTCGTAACCACATACAGCACAAACAGACTCCTCGACTGTCACTGGGCTGGCAGTAGAGCCTGAAATGAGTTTTGAAGTTAATGGTGGAGTACTCCCAGCCATGCCTGGACAAATTCCTCTGAACTCCTACTAGAGCAAAAGTCGATCTCTTCACTAGAAAAAGTGGTGCAATTAGACGTTGGTGTCGTGCACTCGATCTCCTGCAGCATTCAGTGGAACACGTGGATAAGCGAACAGAGAGAATGAATCTAATAGTCGAGGCGAATCAATGTATTGAATGTAGCACAGTTCTCGATGGTGGTGTGCATTTTATTGTTGCTTGAAGCGAAGTGTTTCATGTCGAAAACACCACAACATACTGCTAGACATCGAGGAACACATCCGAATGTATTTTTGGCTGCTGTTCTTATGGCAGCGACGACCAAGATGACGTGCTCCATCGAACACTTAGTAAGCTTACATTGGAAGACTTACGAAGCAAATGAAAGCTCTCTCTGAACAGTATAGAGGAAGTCGATGAATCTCCCTGTTCGAGGAGACTAGAGAGAAGCAAAAAAAGTTCCAGCGCTGATGTCGTAGGGGGGGGGCATGCAAGTAAGTGGGACGCTAACGGTACTTGGGACTAAATTTTAGGGAAGGAAGGGATCCTGAGAAAGGATTTGTGCGACTCCTATCCTCGTTGGCGAGTAGTTCTTACCCCGCATGAAATGTGTAAGCTCACATGACTTCTAAGTGGGATATTGATAACAATCCTGATTAATTCAAACAAATTGAATGTAAGGCAGCCATCAAAATGAAAGGATATTACTTTTTTCAACTTCAATCAAACTGCACACCACTGTTGGTAATATGGATGAGCACATTTTCGATCAAATTGATTCGCCGAAAAAAAGACTCTTGGCACCAACCATCAGGATGAAAAGCACTAGTGGAGGTGAATTGTTGTCGAATGGCTGCCTCGCAATATGTTGGTGATTGTTCGTCAAGATCAACCAATTCGGCACTGAAATTAAATTCCTGAATTGACTCTGAAAAGGGCGGCAGTGATTAAAATGGAGACAGCTCAACTTCACACTCTAATTTTCGAGCATTTATATATTTGATTTGCATTCAGATCTGTTACTCAATGACGCTATCATATCATAAGCAAATTAGAAACGATTCCAAACATCAAAAACTTTCACGACTTACCTCTGCATAACGCCTATCATGTGTGCTAATGCAAAGCGGATTTGGGGATGCACCAACGGCGATACCGTAGTCTGGACCGCCCACTTCTCATACGAGCGCCATCGTTGGGCAAGGATTTATAGCAGGGCCGTCGCGGTTGCTCGTTTCGGAATAATTCTCAATTATTTACCGTATCAAAGACGAATAGGTTTCCTTAGTGAAATATGCGTCAAATATCACAGCTCTACGAGTATTGATCCCCAACAACTGCTAGCTAATTAAGTAGGCGCGTTCATTTGATATACAAATAAATGCAGATATTTGACGAATTTAACACTAATTTAGATTTACGTAGATCACGACAAGAGCAAAATAGGTTATGATGAGGCAAATTAGAGCTACCCACTGGTCAAGAATAACTGAGTGTTGAGAATATTGCTTGTGTTTTGCCGTACAGGTTGTTACGATGGAACTTTATTCGGTCGACCTTTCGAACAAATCGAGTGTTGAGAGATAAGGATTAAACATTCAAGAGAACGGACTAGCTACTCTAAGGACGGCTAAACAGGTAGTTCCAGAAGCACTTGAAAAAGTGACAACCACTAGTGCTTTGAAAGATTTTAGCCAAGCTTCCACAGACGTTTTCGATCGGTATGATGGAGCTCTGGAAACCAGAAGAGGTAGTCGAAAGCGCTGTTATATAGAGCCTAATCATGGAATTGAACCCGCCAGCTCCACAATTTTGTCGGCCTAACTGCCTTTGAAGATAAGAAAATTTGGCTCAAATCTCACTCGACTGTACTAGCCACTGTATCATCATCGAGTCACTCCGTATGACATTGCAAATTTCGAAACGGATCCTGTTCGACTAAGAAAAACCAAAGCGGAGCAAGCAAGCAAAAGTGAATAGGTGTCCATAACCTTTATTCAAGATTCAAAAGCTCCACAAAATCGTAGAGAAACCACAGAATAGCAGTCTTTCGGAATAAAGAAACATAAGTTGAAGTAGTACCACACAAACAGGTCCCGCACAATAAGGCATCTGAAACTTTTTTTTGGATATCGAGAAGTTTGCAGAGCGAATGCCGCTCGCTCCTTAACGCAAACGACATGTTCTATAGAGATTGTAATGTCTATCCCAATATAAGGGCGGATCATGAGGTCAGAGTTGTGTCGTCTGCAGGGATTCCGAATTTGAGGAGAGAAGGGAATTTTCGACTACGTGAACCATTTCTTGCGTTTTTGAACCATCCTGGACAGCAACGGTGGAATCACAGAAAGTGACATAAACTGTTTCACCACATCTAGCATGCCATGCCATATCTTGCCACTAGCATGCCATGCCATATCTTGTTGGAGCAGACTCAAAATTTGTTTCGACTGTTTTAGACTGACTTAGTGGCCGACATGGACTTGCGCCTATGATGCCCTAGTGTACGGCGCACGTGTTGCGTCCCGCCTCTATTTTCAGTGTTGTTTATGTTGCGACTCGGCGGGCACTTGCAAGTCGCGCGACTGCCGTAAAGTCTGGCAAGTTCTCAAGCGCTTTTCTCAGGATTCTATTGCTCGGTCACAACTTCATGCAAGGCATATACTCCGTCAATCTCTTCCATGTAGGTCCACACGATGTTTAATTTCAGAGGATTTTCGCTGGAGCTATTTCAGTTAGGTGGAGGAGGCATGTGGTGTAGCAGGTTCAAATTTTGTAGAAGGGCAAGGGAATTCTTGGGGATGCATGAACTATTTCGCTACCGCTTTCGGACACACTCCTCTTCTATCGTTTTAAAACTTCTTCGTCTAAAAACTTACTCTTCCTAAAAAAGGATTTACTGCAGACGGCGTGAATTGTCGCAGAACATACCCCTTTTTCACCAGGAGGCTGCGTAGCTTTTTGGGATATAGTCAGTGTAGTGACAATTTGACACGTTGACAGCAGTGCGCGTTTCGGCCTTTTTGGCCACGTGGGACAGGCGCGATTTTGCGAGTGTGGCCGCCTCACCTCGCATTCGAAAATTTTGGATGATGACAATGCAAAACTTGTCAGCAATGTTCAATGAGTAGAAGTCAATCGTGGGTACAGTGGTGAAATTCCGATCGGAGGAACGTGTAGGTGGTAAAGACTATTTCAACTTTTTTTCTGCGTGATAGACGTACGAAGCATTTTTGAGGTAGTTTTACAAAGACAAACATATATTCTGCCATGAAAGGCTTGCATTTGCTTTCGTCAAGCTTTTTTTACATGGCCATGAGAATAAGAAGAAAACGGGGAATCAACGGGCTGCCAACTTTGCAGCGTTTAATACCTCTGCTCTTCAGAAGCACATTTGACCATACAGTGGACCATTTACAGTCATGTTATGGTGTAATCCATGGAGTGAGTATAAACAATCCGAGAATAATTCACGCAAGCGCAAGAAAAACGGAAGACTTGGGTGGGACGCGCACCTGCGTCAGAATGCCCCACGTGCTGTGCGAAATGGGACGCGTTACACGTTAGCGCTGTCGTCAATGTCTTAAAGAAGAGTTCGTCGCAGTGATGTTACGCAGCCTGTAGCGCTCTCTTGGACCGGTGTTAGACACTGCGAATCGCTGGGATTGGGCGACACACCGGCGGTTCGAGCGATCTATCTGACTCGACAGTGTTTGAAGGTGGCGAGAGTCCCCCTTTTTTAACACAATGACGACAACGCGAGTTTTGGCGTTTTGGCCACGTGGGACCGCGGCGATTTTGCGGGCGCGCTCACGTCAGGTCGTTCAAGTAGATTTTAAGGGATAAGTACACAACTAATGACCAATTCAAAACCAAATCAGTACATTGTAATGAGCGCAACCTCTGGCCACTGCTGGCGCCAGGCAAGCACTAATAATGATTTCACTTCCTGTTCCTTATGCGTTAAAAGTAAAAGTTTCCCTCTTGATTGGTTGATAAAGGAAAAGATTGTTGGGCTATTGGCCCGCTCTCTCAGCTGTAGAGAGTAGTGGATTAAAACTGCCAGCAGCAGGTGTGGCTTGATCTTTGGCGAACGTATAATTTAAGAAATTCCGTGAGGCACGGGGCGAAAAGCCAGAACAATTGTTGCAGAAAGTGTATTCAGGCTGGAGTGTTGAGACCACCACGAACCTCGCTAGAGGGTCCGGTGTCAGGTACGTTTGCAGTTGCGTGATTGCGATGGGCTTTTGTGCGGTACGGGTGCGAGGCATGCGAATCAATGCAAATCATAAAGTTCAGTCAACCATGAACCCTGCTCCCCCGACAGCTATGTACTGAGTTGGTATTTGAGAGTTGCGTCATTAGTTGGGGTGTAGCTTATCACTCAAAATTCTACATTGATAGAGCCTGAGGCAACGGAGGCACATGTTCGCGGCAAGAATTCGCCGCGCGGCTGCCCACCGTGGGCCAACAAAAGCCAAAACTCGACAGTTGTCGGTCGAATGTGTGTGAAAAGTGGCTGGGACTTCTGGTCCTGTGTGTCGACGCTTCAACACGATGTCGAGTGCGAGAGAGGGTGAATATCGCTCGATCCGTGTGTTGGTCAGATAAATCGTAGTGGCGCGCGCTAATCTCCCGCGATCTTCGCATGGTGTCTAACACCGGTTCTTAAGAGAGCCTACAGGCTGGCGCGAACAGGCACTTGCGTAGAACTCTCTTGTAATGACAATTGCGACCGCAGCGGCTATACCGTGTACCGGTCTCGGCCCGCGTCCCATTTCGCACGAGCACGTGCGGCATTCTGACGCAGCTTGTGCGCCCCGCCACCCAAGTCTTCTCCGTTTTTTTCTGGCGGTGCTCATGGTGAAAATTATTCCTCGGAAATTGCATATATCCGTCGCATGGAATTAGCAGCCATTATACTCGACTGGTAAATGGTCCACTGCTATGGTCGGCAAGGTGCTGTCTGGCAAGAAGAGCAGAGGTATTAACGCTGCAAAGTTGACACGCCCGTTTGATTCCTGCCGCTTTTCTCTTTATCTCATGGCATGGAAAAATAAGCTGTACGACAAGCGAAATGCCTAAGCCTTTCATGGCGAATATATATGTTGGTTCTTATGGTAACAGCGACTCAAACAATGCCTTCGCGTACCGAGCCGAAGCGCTGCGGTCTATCCGCCGAGAAAAAAGTTGAAATACGGTCCTGTACACCATCACACGTTCTCCTCTGGATCGGAGTATTTCAGCACGTGACCCGAACGATCTTTGACGTTCCCTACGTTCTAATCTTTGAACATTGGCTGACAGGTTGCATTGTTCATTCATTGTGGGAGAGCCCGTTCGAAAATGTGGGTCGATATACTCTTTTGGGAGTATTTCGTCTCATAATACGGTGAGGTTCTCTTCCCTTCGTGCG